TTCAAGTGTAGCGGTTCATGAAAAATTACATAAATAAAATTAAAATCCTCGACGATTTTGCCACTGCTTGATGAAGCAATATTTGGTCTGTTCTCGTGTACATAGAACTCGACCATATTAATTCAAAATTTCGGGTATTGTTTCAATGCTTTCGAGCACAAAACACCAAAGTTGACTACGTAAAACGCAAGTGCCTCAAAGGGCACAAATATATTATATGTACGTTCGACCACTGGTATTTCACTTCAGGTCCAAGTTTTGAGTGTTCGTTTAACATTAATGTTGGGGTTCAGATCGAGTTAATTTCGACATCAGTCAGCTGACATTTGTCGGTATTCAACAAAAGGAAATCATAAATGATGAATACTGGCAGAATTGTAAGGGTATGTGATACACAGGTACCAAACTTGCAATCGAAAACGAGATATTTATGCCAAGTCCTTAGGGCAAATCAAGCAGAGGATGAAGAGGTTGAGGATTATGCCAGTTCAGCAAAGCCAACTTGAGTATTTCCCTGATCGAATACTGTGTAAACGTTTTGCAGGAAAACGCCCCCGACAACCCAAAAGTCTGAAACGGATAGATGAAAAGGAGGACTTAGCTTGCGTACATTGCGCATGATATGAAGTACTCACCAAGATCTGACATCCCAGCAATACCTCCCAAGCAGTCGCTTGAACCGTCGCTCTCCGGGCCAAGATTGAACGTTTCCTCTGAAACACCGAAGCTGCGCCCACCAAATGAGAATGTGGGAGTGTATGACCCGATCGTGTCACACGGAACTAGGGAATATGTCAGTTGTAGATCATCGACTGCAAATAATCGGCCAAACTGTAATAATATGTTATGCCCCCTTGAGTACTGTTGCTTGAACCTGGAATATCCTGGTAGTATGCCTCTGCTGCATCATCAGTTGTGATGATCATCGTGGTCCCGGTATCGATGATAGATACGCTGTTACTGGCAACCGTAGAGCCACCTCGCGAAACTGCTTCTAGATTCACTTGCCAGTAGCCTTCCTTAGTAACGGCCGTATAGGTCAAGGTGTCTTCGATGTAGAGATTGGGGTTCGTCGCTCCGATACTGAGCTCGCTCTCCCCGGCTGTAGAAGAAAGTTTGACACTGAATACGCGTTCTGGGAGTACGCCGCTGTCACTTATTGTCTCAAAGACTGACTTGGCCTCAAGACCAGATATTTCCTCAAAAGCAAAACCGAGAAGACCGTCAGGTTGGAAATCCGGATACGCGAAGTTGCTGGAGTACTCAGAGGCAGCAAGGAATATCTGGCTGGAAGCCTTAGCAAAGAAAATCAGTATTTGCAATGTAAGAAAGAGTTATTGCGCCACCTCGTAGCCACCAAGGAATACGTCATCGCTATATTCATCTCCTATTACTTGACCTTCACCATACGAGAGCGAAACAAATTTTCCTTCGTCCTTGGCTGTAGAAGACGCGGCAGCGTGATACATCTTGTGGCCTGCGCAATCCAGGCAGGACGCAGACGGAAGGACTAACAAAAAATGGCCTCAGATCAAGACAAACGTCTCGTCAGGTGTATGTGCTTACAAAGGTCCGTGCTTCCTGAGTCGATAGATACTGCAGATAAAGTTCAATGAGCAATGTTCGTTCCATGCTGACAGTAGGATTGTCTGACCGTTGAACGTCTGTGGTGGCGTGCCCACATCGATTTCGCCATACCACAGCTCAGTTCCCTGGTTGATGAGCGGAACATCACGCTCTCTTATAGAAGACCTCATCTTCCCGCTCAATGGATGAGCATAACCGGTATTAGCTTCGAATGCAGAAAATGTCTGACGATACTTGCTGGAAGATAGGGATTGCAAGCGATCAATACGGTGGTTGAGGGCTATGAAAAAAGCTTACTTCGAAACGCTGAAGAGGTGTGCACTGAGAGCACTCATATCAACATGCCCTGCGACGTCAGCGCTCTTGCGGGCAAGAGGAATTCGAATAACACCGTCATTACGGCTCTTAGGTACAGCAGCAGCAATAGAGACAAGGGCCAGCAGAGAGGCAAAGGGGGATGAGAACTTCATCTTGCACTGGGAGGCAAAGAGCGTAGTTAGTCAAAAAGAATTTGAATATTTTCACAACTGTGTGTACGTTGTTGATTAATGGATTATTAGCACCACTTCTACTCGGGTCACTCGCGCACTAAGGCGGCCAAATGCGGAGGTAGGCCCGGGGAGCATCTTCTACATACCAGCGCCGCCATCCATGACACCGACGTACAGATCAAGATGTTATTTTCACCACGGCGTGACTTTGACTACTGACGCAGCAGCTACACAAGTTTCTTGCAAAGAGTGGCCCAAACTGTGCGTTCATTGAATGTCATAGCAACGTATAGAAGAGTTCCTTTAACGTCACGTACAACAAAACCATAGTGACTAGGAGGTTGTGGCCCATAGCCTCGCCGATGGCGCGTTAGCTAGCTGCCGACTCTTCGATGGAGGGTCGCAAGTGACGTCTGATCACTTGCTAGTATGACGCTAAGCTTTCGGATCCACTATCAAAAGCTAGTTTCCTCCGGAAAGACCAAACAAGAACTAAACATTCGGAACCGGGAATGTCAATTGGAGACTCGACTCAGCATGTCTCGGAGATGGAGTATTTCAAGTACATCCTCAATCCCCAGATGCGGCAGAACACCTTCCTTTCAAACCCCGCGACTCCCTATCCACTGCGCGAACAATGTCAATTCAAGTATACGTATGCATAGTAACTTAACTATGTAGTTAGTAGTACTGTCGAAGGTCCGTATGTAATACTCCCAAATATCTGATTCAAAACTTCTCCCACAACTCTCATCAGATGCTCTGATGAACTTATGCGAGCTCCGCAAACCCAACTCGCAATTTACACACGTCAAAGATCGAGTACACGTTCTGCAAGAATACGTCGCCCACGACCCAGAAGTCTAATATAGTAAGCCTGAATCAGAGTACTGCAAGCTATCCATGTATACGAAGTCTTACCAACGTCGTCCGAGCCTGCGATGCCAGCCACACAGTCACTGGATCCCACTTCGACAGGCCCGAGATTGAATGTGTCCCCAGACACGGTGAACGGATGTCCTCCGAAGATGAGAGTCGGCGCATATTTTTCAATGATATCGCATGGCACTGAATATCTTACTATTAGCCTACAGGGTATAAAGATCCATTTTTTGATTTGATACTAACTTGAATAAATCACCTGAGATTCGTCAACCGTTGACGTAACGTTAGCAATGCCAGCAAAATAGGATGCAGTATCATTCATATTCGCTACGATTAAAGTTGTTCCCGTATCGATGATGGATGATGCACCCGGTTTCCCAACAGGGACGCCAGCTCGAGATATCTGATCGAGTTTGACTTCCCAGTAGCCTGGTTCAGTTACAGGTGTATACGTTAGAGTGTCTTGCCGATACAGCGCCGTGTTAGTCCCTCCGATATATAGTTCGCTTGCACCGGGGGCGGCGGAAAGTTTGACACCAAACACATCTTCCTGCAACTGTCTGCTGTCCACGAGAGTTTGAAAGAGCGGAGGTGCTGGGTATTCAGATATAGACTCGAATGCAAAGCCGGCAAGCCCGTCAGGTGTGAAATTATCACTTGAGAAGTCTGGAGAATACTTTAGTGCAGCCCCGAGGGTCTGTCCCTTAGCCTGGTCATGGTTAGGATACGCGCACATGGCTTGAATCCAAAATAATCACCTCATATCCTCCGATTACCACGCTGTCAGCAAATTGTTCCCCCTCAACTTCGCCTTCACCAAAGCTAAGCCAGAATAGCTTGTGAAGGTCGACAGCTGTTGAGGATTTGGATGGATCATATCTATTGTGACCGTCGCAGCTAACATCACAATCGACAGAAGGAAGGACTGAGTGAGGAAAGGTGAGCAAAAGTTGGGGTCTGGAGAAAATAACTTACAGAGATCCGCGCTGCCCGTGTCAATGGACACTTTGAAAATTACTTAATATTACCTCAAAGAAATAGTAATACGTGCGCACCTGTGAAAGTCTTCGCAGGCGTACCAACATCGATCGAGGCATACCACAAATCGACATCTTGAGACATCAAAGAAACATTACCAGCACCTCGCTTCGTCGTTTTTGAGCTAGATGGCATGCTCAACGGGTGGGCATGTCCCTTATTGGCCTCATACGCCGCAAATCCCTGACGGTACTTCCTATATTTATCGGTCAATATCGTAAACAGGAAGTGAAGCTGTACATGGCATACGCGGTGACTTGTTTAAGGTGTGCTTGGAGACTCTTAACACTGACTTGATTGTTCCTACGCTCAAGTGGCAGGCGCAAAGCATGGGTGTTCAGCTGCTGAATCGGTGAGCCAGAGACCAGCGACAATAGCGCGAGGATATATGTAAAGGAATGTGCCAATTTCATCGTGAACGGCGTAGTGCCACTGGGAAGGGTGAAATAATTATCTCTGCAAGGGCGTACTGGGATACGATTCGGGTCTGCATCGTCCCGATTTTTATACACGAATGAGCTGAGCAGAAGCGAGTATTGTCCTTCTTGGTAACAAAAGAAGCTAGGTTGAAACCAAGAGCAAAACAGGTACTTAATAAGTTAAAGAGCTTGATGACCGAGGCCGACTCAGAATTACCAGAAACAGTTTTAATGTTACCGGACTAGTTTATGTTATCCTCGTACCTACGCGGAGCTATCCAGCGACATACTACGTACTTCGCGCGCTGATAGATGAGGCCCATCTAGCAATCCTCGACACAACAATGATAGTATCAAAGAGCTTCCTATATCCGTGTTCATAGTAAATGAACCAGCTCCGCAAATGACAGACGATGCGTACACTAATGAATCATTGGTGACCACCTCACCACGCTGTGATTGCAACTCCAATATAGTCGATTCATTTGACATTGGGAAACTATAGGATACTTTCCTAGACATTCTCAAACAATCAAGTAGCTCCCTGATGGTCGGCACTATGTCAGAGGTCAATCGGACATTATGTCAATTCACGCTTACATAGCCGCACTTCACAGTCCCCGCTACCAGATGCTAACAGCCGTCCGTCCTTGCAAAGATCCACAGTCGTCACTGAGAAAGGAACGTTGAAAGAAATTGCAGAGGCTCGGTGGTCCGGCTACGTACCAGTGTTTTTATGACCCTGGATCACGAATTGCACCATGCCCGTCTTCAAGTCCCACATCCTTACCGTCCCATCCCGAGACGAGGACACGACGCGTTGATCTCTTCCAACTTGAAGTGCAGATGTGGCGAGAATGCAGTCCTAGTGAAAGGTCAGTTGCAATACTGGGATCGAGGTTTTGTCCAAGTTGTCACGTACTTTGTGTCCCTGCAGAGTTTTTCGACACTCTGTGCGACCAACACCCACTTCACTTATGTTCCAGTGTTTCAGCGCGCGATCCACGCTTGCGCTCACCAAGCCGCCTTCAACAAACTGCACACTATACACAGCATCCCCATGCCCGCTTAATGTCTCCACCGGCTCCGTGCTGCCGTTCTCGGTGCCGTCAACCTTCCAGATTCGAATCATTCCATCCAACGACCCCCCAGCAACAAACTTGCCAGTTGAGTCGACGGCAATAGATGTCAGTGCGAGTTTGGATGAAAGTTTGACACCAGAGCTGACTGGGCGAAGTACACGACAGTTGGCCTCCATAGTTTCATCGAGGATGATTGAGCTAGCATCAGGAGTCTCAGCAAACTGAGTCGCATCCCAAACGCGGATCGTGCAATCTCCGGACGCTGAAAGCAATGTGTTGTTGTCAGGTGTAAATGCTAGAGCATACACCTCTCCGGAGTGCCCCTCCAAAGCATGCACCAACATGCGGTTCGTGATACTCCAGACCTATATAGCAACATGAGTGCTCTGATGAATAAAATTTGAGTCACTGGCACGCACTCTTATGAGTCTGTCTTCAGAACCAGCGACAAGAAAATGACCATCAGGACTGATGCAAATAGCTCGTGCATGATTTGGTTTTCCACTATTACTCTCCAGTGTGAAGCTGCGTTACTAGCTCACCCAATGTTGTTCGTGAGAAGACAGGATGAGTACTCACGTAAACTTCTCTCCAAGAGCCAAGTTGTAAAGTACAACGGCACCCTCCATGCCTACTGCAAGCAATGTCCCGTCCAAGGAAAATTTCACACTACATACCACGCTGACTCACAAAATGGTGTCAGACTGGAGTGAAGCCATAAGTCTTCCAAACAAACGCACCCGTCATGAACGTACCGCGCTGCAAGCTGCACGTCCATCTGGCGAGGTACGCGGGGATTAAATATGGCCAGCCAATCGCCTCCTTCCTTAACAAAGTCCACGGGTACTGTCGTTGAGTCTAATTCTTCAGCCATGCGACGCGTGAATGATTTAAACGCTTTGGGCGTTGTGAGTGTGGGAGATGTGTTCGAGACAGACACGAGGGGGCCGCAAACTCAAGGGATTGTTGAACGAGGAAGTGAGAAGAAAGTTCGCAAATGACTCTGTCATAAACTTTGGTTCTGGACTGCAGGGTAGTTCTGAGAGTTGTCATGAATTAACGTCAGGCTATTTGATAACAACCCTCAATTTTGTTCTAGGCTTTTGACTAGAAGACGCTTTACGAACCTGAGGGCTAAATTGTATATACTTTTTGACTTGTGGCATTCTGCGATTGGAGTGGGAAGAACGCCAGCCGCGAAACCAGAGCAGATGAATATTAAATATTAAATACCGGATCAACGCTCGGCGCTGGCGTAAATTGTATGATAATCGATAATCGGAAATGTTTTACAATAATGGATGGAGCCAGGTCACGTTGCAGGGTACTGCTATTTATATGCCTGAATATAACAGAACCACAAGATTAACTTGCTACGGGTAACATGCATGGATTATCATAATCATCATGGACCACGGAGCGCCATTCAATCTAACTTGAGACTCGTGCGCTCAAGTTAACCTTCCGTTGTGTAGGTTTATGTGTGAAACTCGTCCGGAACATATCTTATGACATCTTTTTCTTGTGAATGCCGAGCAGAGCCGTAAAGCCTCACGTATTTGCCAGCTATGTTCATGCATAAAAGTGGTCAACAATATGAAATTGCAAGTGGTGATATTCCCACCGGTAAAATTAGTGTTCTGCGCTGATAGACCAAGTGCCGTTAATGTCAGAGTTCTGGCCGGTCTGGGTGTGCAGACAAAGTCTGGGCATCCCTCAGCAGGCTCGGCAAATTCAAGCGATGTTAGCCACTCGCAAATGACCTAAGCAAGGATACGCATCCGGACTCTTTGCTACCCGCCAGCTGTCACCGGTTCACCTCAAAGGAATGTTACTTGTATGCCACTGGAGGTGGTGTCAATGGCATCCTCGCCATATCTGTGCTTTAAGCTTGTTGGTACAACGGAGTAAGAAATAAATGGCATGATGATCTTATGGTAGGATTGTGGTACCAAAGATGGACCTGATATGCATGGCTCGTGCGTGGTGTGCAGCGCCTAACGGGGTGTGTCAGCCATGCTCGGGTGGCGCCTGCGTCTTCAAACTCCGCGAGAACATCGCCACCTGTACCCAGACGGTCCAGCCATTTCAAGAAACGAAGACAAAGGATACAGATAAGTCTCACACCTTGTATGGGGTTGATGGCCCTTTGAATCAGCATAAACGGCGGTGGCCGAGCAAACTGCGACCGTGATGCTAAATCTGGCTTATACGTGCGAAGTCGAAGTTACTTGTTAGGTAGATTCCGGATGAAGGCTCCGAGCTCGATGGCCCGTGGTCCTCCAGATCAGAAATGGAAACGAAGTGGAGAGCCATACAGCAATGGAATTGGGATAGTGATGCCCTAGTATGTTACACCTCGCCTCATTTGCTGAGCAGTCGGAGATTATGTTACCTGATGAGAGCAGTGCATCCTGCAAGCACGGAGACTATGTGCGGTTAACGTATTATAGCAAAGTCCGACTTTCCTGAGCATCGCAACCGCCTGAAAGAGAGAAGGAGATTCTGGTGCCGCTGGGTTTGAACTGCTCAATGTATGTTTACCGAGCACGTGATTGTGCCTTTACAACTCGAATAGGACATGCCGCCGGTAGTGTCAAGTGTGAGAAAAGAATCAGAGTATCAGGGTCCAACGCCAGTTATAAAGGCGATGATCAACACCCATTCCGTGGTTCCCAACCTCCTTCATGTCCTCCACAATATACAACGTGAGTAATTCCATCTGATTTTTTCCCTTTTCTTCAATACAGGTTCTGTCACATATCGTGATCAATGAATTCTCTAATTGGGTTATGACACTCCTTCACGGCGCTAACCCGAGAACAAAATTCTCTATCTCTGTTGCTATGAACTCTTTCTTGGCGTGCACCCATACTGACCTTCCCTGTTTCAATAGCATAGGAGCTTGCAGCCTACGGTTCCCCCTGCCCAAGGGCCAAACCAGCACAGTCATGTCAGGCTTAATGAGGCCGTCGATACCATCCGCCAAGAATTTGATGTTATCACCTCTGACCTTGGCATTCTTCGCAATCAACGAGACGAGTATGAATCCAAAGGTGCGCACCTTTGATTCTTTAATTACACCTCGGTTTTATGTATGATTGCACAATCTTGTCCATTTAGTCACTTCACAAATAAACGAGTTGAACATCGTTCGCCAGTCACTGTATGAGCTGGAATCTCAACATGGCAAGATTCGACAGACATACGAAGAGGAGCTGAGTCGCCTCAGAGGAGAGCTTCATGCACTTCGTCAGGGTGTACCAGCAGGAGCTCCACATCCGCCTGTCGGTCCCGCTTCAGTCGGGCCTTCCGGTCCACCTGCACCTCCGCCTGCAGTCCCCGGTGTACCTCCTGGGCCTGGCTCATACAACGAGCCTTACTACAGTCGAGATCGCGATCGTGAACGCGAGCGGGAAAAAGACCGCGAACGTGCTGATCGTGAACGCGAGCGCGAAGTACGTGATCGACAGCGTGAAGAGCGCGACCGAGATCGCGAACGTCCACCGGCGGAGGCTCGGGATTCAAAGCGTATAAAGACTGAGCGTATGAAGGGTGATTCTCGTCCAGGTAAACCATTCACTTCAAGCTCCACACGTTCGCCGCCTCCTCATGGATACTATGCCACCTCTTTTTCCCCCCCTTTATCTGCGACAGATCATTATAGTCCTTCTCTTCAACCTCCAAATGCGAAGCTCCCCCCTGTACCTGGGGCACCTCCTGCCTTGACTACTTTCCAAGGCCCAGGTCTTCCACCACCACCTGCCGCCCATGCGCCATACCCACCTGGGCCTGGAAATCCACCGCCTGCCGGCCCAGCAGAACCACCAGCAGCTAGCTCAAGCACTCTCGTACCTATCAATAACGCACAAAGTGGTGGGGGGCAGTTTCCGGATGATCTCGACCCACACAATGTTCCGCCCGAACTGAAGAAGGAAGGCACTGACTGGTTCGCGGTCTTCAACGGTAAAGTCAAGCGCGTGTTAGATGTGTCGCTAGTGCACACGCTCATGCACGAGAGGTGCGTGGTATGATCGGCTTTGATCGAACATAGCCTCCTGATCACATCTTCCTGTATCTCTACATTTTCACGTGCCATCTATTAGTGTCGTTTGCTGTGTACGATTTTCTGCAGACGGCAAGTACCTCGCCACCGGCTGTAATCGCACGGCCCAGATCTATGACACAAAGACGGGCGTAAAGACCTGGTAGGTAACGATCTTGACTGCAGTAGTCCATCTCATTACCCTTGGACCTACAGCGTCCTTGCAGATGAATCAGCTGGAAAGGCAGGTGACCTGTATATCAGGAGTGTTTGTTTCAGCCCCGATGGGAAATATCTTGCAACGGGCGCTGAAGATAAGCAGATCAGAGTGCGCCAAACTTTGTGTTTCATCAGGGTCGTGCACTGATCCCTTACAGATATGGGATATTGCCAAGAAACGCATTCGCAACGTTTTCGACGGACATCAGCAGGAGATTTACTCACTCGACTTTTCCTTAGATGGCAGGCTTATCGTCTCGGGATCGGGCGATAAAACTGCCCGTATCTGGGACATGGTTGATGGGACATCTAAAGTGCTCACAATCAATGACGCCGATCCTGTGAACAACGATGCAGGCGTAACCTCCGTGGCTATCTCACCAAACGGCCAACTGGTTGCGGCTGGTAGTCTTGATACCGTTGTGCGCATCTGGGACGTGGGAACGGGCTCCCTCATCGAGCGCCTGCGGGGTCATAGGGACAGCGTCTACAGCGTTGCGTTCACGCCCGACGGGAAGGGGTTGGTGAGCGGCAGCTTAGACAAGACTTTGAAATACTGGGATGTCAGCGGGCTTCTCGCAAAACGCAAGGAGGCGGTGGCCAATGGGAAGAAAGATGATAAGGGCAGCCAGTGCACCATGAACTTCTTGGGCCACACGGTAAGCAAATAAGTCCCGGCCGCGGACCCATTACATATGTCATCTGTTGTTCCAACTGATTTCATGTCCGCGCAGGATTACGTGCTCTCCGTTGCTGTATCGCATGATGGGCAGTGGGTTGTGTCAGGGTCCAAGGACCGTGGTGTCCAGTTCTGGGACTCGCACACCGCAACGACGCAGTGCATGCTTCAAGGACACAAGAACTCTGGTACGAATGTTCTGATGATTCCGGACCGAGAACCCCATTAATGAATCTGCCGCAGTCATCTCTATCGATTTGAGTCCCGCGGGCAGTATCTTGGCTACGGGCAGCGGTGATTGGCAGGCGCGGATTTGTAGGCCTGTTTCTTTTCTTCCCCTTCTATCGGCACTAACCATCTTTACTTGGCAGGGAGCTACACCAACATCTAATCCATGCACCAGTGTGGAGTCCACTTTCCATTCCCGTAGCGCAACAATGCACATTCGCATTTATATGTACTCGATTCTCTTGTTTTATTCGTGTCGCATGTGGCCCTTCTACCCCTGTTTGCTTTCCGGTGCTCCCCCAGCGTCCCTTCTACAGGTTTCTGTGCTTCTGCTGTGAATGGTTTATTGGTATCCGCACCTTGTTACTTTTGTGTAATGTACTTGTTGTTAGCTTTATATCCTGTTGTCTAATAATTCAATTTCTACTAGTATACCGTCGGGAACCCGCTGAATTTACTGCTGTGAAACTAGGATAACATTAGAGTATTGAAGTACACGTCATATCCATGTAAGCTTCAGTAGCATACAATCTAGAGATAATTTGAATGGGCCATTCTTGCAAATGCAATCAGGAAGGACCAAGGAAGGACACTTGCTAACAATAATGACGTACAGCTTATATAATAATTTCTCACAGCCGACCCCAAGCTTCCCTCCAGGAGTCCGTTATACATGATACTGCTGTTGTGTGCAACATGGTGC